AAAAGAAGAAAGAAATAGTATTTCTGTAGTGACAGACAAACAAACCAGGCAAAAATGTAATGGTAAAAACAAGAAAAAAACTCCAGAAATTAACTAAAGCCCTCTTGGCAAGTGGTGCTTCCCTCCCCACTAGACTGGATATGTAGGAGGGCAGTATGACCAACCGAGGAAGTCTCTGAGGTAGCGCTTCGCAGACTTTTGGTTTTAGAACTCCTTCACACTCTTAAAAGTTACTAATGCTGAAAAGTTATTGATTCTAAAAGCAGAATCTCTTGTGGTAATCAGCATGGTAATCTTCGTAGCAATCAGGTTGGGCGCAAGAAGCTGTTCTCACTCACTCTGTGGTCTCTTGTGAGGATGGCTAAGGAGAGGCAAGGTTAAGAAAATGGGTCTTCAAAGTGTTATTTTAGCTATTAGCACTGAACTTCCTTCTCCCCTAAGTTATTACAGTAAAACCTGTGAAAGCCAGAACCTGTGCAAGATTGAAACCCATCAGAGAAGGGAAACGTAAATATTTTCTACAAAACGTGTGATAGGAAAAATCTGACCAGAATTACTGGTCAAATTACTGGTGGAGCCCCTGAGACTATGGTCCTGTGTTATCCTCAGGCCTAGAAATGGACTTACTTTCGTGAATTGGCTCTCAGCCTGACAGTGGAGAGACCTACATGCAGAACACCTACCCCAGGGAGATGCACCCACCTACCCTAGAGAGATGCACCCCTTAGATCAATCAACCATGAGACATCAGAGGGGTAGCAATCACATAGAGGGAAAGATGGACAGACAGGAATGCATAGATGATACCCTTATGTAGATGGTCCAGTCTTCCTTCCCCAGGGTGGCTGGTGGGTTTGAACTGCCAACCTTCTGGGTAGCAGTCAAATGCCTTAGGCCTTGGGCCACCAGACCTCCTAGTAAATGCTATCGATGATTAATATTTACTGTCATCAATTTGAAATTTGTAGCATTTACTTTCCAGATTTAGAAGAACCTAGAACTTTGCAGGCCAGGAGCTGAGTGTGGAACAGACCATCAACTGCTCACATGCAAGTTCAACTTGAAGTTAAAGACAATTAAAACAAGTCTACGAGAGCCAATCTGCAGCAGCTTCAACGGCAGGGAGAGGGTAGTCACAGGGAAGAGAGGAGGAGAATTTTTATGGTTGGGGATTGTAATCGGGCGTGAAATCAAATGTGCATGATCTGTTGAATGTAAAACAAATCTCCTTAGTAAATTTGCACCTGAAGCACCATTTTAAACAATTTAAAAAATAAAATAATAAAACAAATAATAGAAAAGTGGAAAGAACTGCACCCTGTCAAAGATGTAAAAGGGAGACCTGGAAAAACAAGGCAGTTCCGCTGAGTTCCTGCTGTCACAGGCTGTATAAACCTCTGGGGCAATTGAATACCACACAGCGGTGAGTGAAGGAAGACCCTGTGGAATGCCCTCTGTTACATACTGAATTTTGTCGTCCCCCCCCAAAATATATATCCACTTGGCTAGGCCATGATTCTCAGCATGATCCAATTGTCTTCCATTTTGCGATCTGATGTAATTATCTTAAGTGTCCTCAGTTCTAGCCTCTATGATGTAAATGAGGCCAGAGGAGTGGCAGTTATGTTAATGAGGCAGGATCCAATCTACAAAATGACATTGCATTTGGACTCAATCTCTTTGGGAATATAAAAGAGCCTAAAGGAGCAAGGAGAGGTCAGAGTGGCCTGACTAGCACCCAGGAGGAAGGAAAGAGACAGGAGGAACACATCCTTTGTGCCTTAGGTGTAGCCTCCACAACCATGTAAGTAATTTCCTTGAGATAAATCTCTCTGTATATATTTATAGGGAACTCTGGTGGCAAGAGCTCTGGTGAAGCAGTGGTTAAAGCATTTGGTTGTTACCAAAAGGTTGGTGGTTCAAACCCACCAGCCACTCTTTGGGAGAAAGATGAGGCAATCTGCTTCTGTAAAGATTTACAGCCTTGGAAACCCTGTGGAGCAGTTCTACTCTGTCCTAAAGGGTCACCATGAGTTGGAATCCTGACTCAATGGCAGTGTGTCTGGTGGTACAGTGGTAACAGCAGTCAGCTGCTAACCAAAACGTTGGTTCAAACCCACCAGCTGCTCCAGGGAAGAAAGATGAGGCTGTCTGCTTCTGTAAAGATTTATAGCCAGGGAAACCCTATGGAGTAGTTCTATTCTGTCCTATAGGGTCACTGAGTCAGCATTTATTCAAGGGCAGTGGGTTTGGTTTTCGTATATTTAAACATATTCATGCTTGACTGTTTTTGTTCCTAGAGAAATCACCGTAAGTCACCGCTCCAGAATCCATTATTTTATCACTTGGAAAGATCCTAGATGAGAAATCAACATGGCTTCCAATGGCTCACCAATTGAAAAGGATGGTCATGAGAAGATAATGAGAACAGAGCGGAAACGAGGAAAACGACATACGTTTACTATGGAAGAATTGCTCATACTTAATAACACATTTTTAGAAGATTCTTACCCTGACTTTACAACCAGAAGAGAACTGTCCAACCTAGTCCACTGTTCCAAAGATGTAATTTGTAACTGGTTCCAGAACAAGAGAGCTCCACTACCAGCTAAAGAGAGATGCAAAATATTTGTGGCTAAGAAACAAAAAGAATTCCCTGTCCGAGGTCACACAATTTCAAGTATTCAGGTTACCACATCTGAAGCTCCCGACTGTATCCCTGAACAGAGCTTCTCTCATTCCCAGGAGACTCATCTACTTAGACCTGGCTGTTCCTCTCTGGACACAAAAGGGGTTCCCAGTCAACAAGTCGGCTCAGGCCCCTCTGGGATTCCAAACAATGGAAAAGGCCACGCTTTGGAGTATCAAGGTAACACAGGAAGTGGACTGGTTCCTGGTTCGCAGTTTCCCAACTACAGATCAGCAATTGGCTTTCATCATCTTACATCATCCATGGACTATTTTGACAGGGATAGGCCTGCGAGAGGGGAAGGCCAGTATGTAAGCCCCTACCCTCTGCCTGATGTTTATAGCGTGCTTGGAGCAAGACAGCAGGAAGAGTGGAAGAACTGTCCTTACTCACTACAAGGACAGCAGCAAAATGCCTGGCAGCATCATCTGCAGCAGCTTCAACGGCCTCAGAATTGCCAAGAGAAGTTGCAGTTCCAGGAGTAGCTTCTAATGCACATGAGTCATGGGGATCTGGGGCAACAGTTGCCCTCCCCTCAGTCGCAAGAGCAGGGTTGGTATCCTCAAACCAGTGGAGAGTTATTTTTGCTCTCAGCTGCAGCAGGCATCTTTCCAAACAGTGATCAGGTCACCACCACTGTCTCCGGAGCAAGATAGGCAGCATAGAACTACAGAGCAACCCAGGGCCCAACTGCAACAGCTTTGGTGTGAGTGCTTTGCTCTAGCCCATGGACTAAGGATGTGCATGCAGGAAGTGGTACTAGGCTTTAAAGAACAGCAAGCATGGTTTTTACCAGGCATCGACACAGCCGTCCAAAGGAAAAGACCACTCTGGAAATCTGAACATAAAAATGCTGTCTTCAGGAAGATTCTATGAGCTGTTGGTCCCTTTTGCTAGAGCATCAGGTCTATTACTGATTTAATTGTGTCCCGCCAAATATGTGTCACCTCCGCTAGGCCATACTTCTCAGAATTATGTAATTATCCTCCATTTTGTGATCTGATGTAGTTATCCTATGTTGTAAATCCTAACCTCTATGATGTTAAAGAAGTAGGATTAGTGGCAGTTGTGTTCATGAGGCAGGATACAATCCACAGGATTAGGTTGTATTTTGAGTCAATCGCTTGAGATTAAGGTCAGAGGGACCTGACTACCACAGAAAAGAGCTGGGAGTGGAAAGCCTCCTTAGATTTGTGGTTCCTACGCTTAGAAGCTCCCAGATGCAGAAGACTGATGCCAAAACATGCAGATCTCCAAGGATCCTGGGCTCACAGATGTAGGAAAGGGACAAGGACCTTCCCCCGAGTCCTTAGAGAGAAAAAGCCTTCCCTTTGATCTGGCGCCCTGAATGTAGACTTCTGGCCTCCCAAACTGAGATAATAAAATTGTTTGTTAAAACCACTCGCTTGAGGTATTCTCTTATAGCAGCATTAGAGAACTAAGATATCATTCTTCTGGATTCCTTAAACTTAGCGTAACTGGTGGTGAGTTTTTATTGGATTCAGGAAGGCCGGTAGCCAAAGTTATAGAGTTTGTGTCTCCTATATGATACAGCCCTTGAAAGTGAAAACGGCAAAAGGATGGGTTTTCCTGTTCAGGTCTCGCAACAATTGGCTGTACAAATAAATTCTGACAAATCTTTTGCAGAAGGACTTCCAATAAGAAGACGAAGCGTTCTATTCTAAGGCCAGTAGAAACAGAGACGTAAAACGCAGAAGGCAGATAATCTGAAAGGAGGTGCAATATCAGGAAAAGGGGGAAAGTTAGGAGAGCGGTTCAAAGTCTAAATCCTCTTAGTGGGAGGTGGAATGTGCAAAGGAGAGATGCAAAGAAAGGCAAGAGGCGGGCAGTGAGAAGGGCAGAGAACCGAGGAAGAGGACTTGGCGTCTCAAGCGAGACCGGGTGACAGGGAGGGGTGTGTCTACGGGACTAGGACCGGGAAGTCTGGCCAAGGGGAGCCAGAGCCCTAGGGCTTGGGCCAGTGCGCATGCGCAGCGGGGCGGCCGGGGTCTAGGGGTCCCCGGACCAGCGCGGGCGCGGAGGAGCCGTCTGGAGCCGCTGGTCGGCCTCGCCCGGCCCTGAGCTCCAGCGCTTCCTACCCCGGAGACGTTGGCTCAGCTCACGCCCTTCCCCTCCCTTGCCACTGCATAGCGCGGCGTCGGGCCAGATCGGCGGAGGCTGCGACGCCGGCGTCGACGGCGACCGCGACAGCCCTTAGGCAGCGCGCGGGGCACCAGGGCCGTTGCCGCGATTGGCCACCTGGGCGCCCGCTCCCATAATGCAGCGCATGGCGCGTCATTGAAGAGAGACCATGATGGCGGCGGCGCTGGGGCCCCCAGAAGTGATCGCTCAGCTGGAGAACGCGGCCAAAGTTTTGATGGTGAGGAAGCCGCGACCCCGGCCCCGGGACCCTCGGGCCTCCGTTCGGCTCTGATTGGCCAGTTCTTGCCGCCCGCTGGGCTGGCGACCAGGAAGGGCCTCTGGGGAGTCCTGGAAGTGGAGGAGGAGGTGGCGGTGGCGTGGCGCAGGATTCTCCATCCTACTTCTTTCCTCTTGCCTTCGTCCCCCTTTTTCTGGGGCTGTCCTCCTTCCCCTAGCTGCCCAGCACCCCAGACGGGTATCGGGAGTGTGGCGGAGTAGGAAAGAGGGTTTTCTGTGCCAAGGTCTTAACCCTACACCCTGACCCATAGACTGGTTCGCAGAGCCAGGCGCGGAGAGAGAGGTTGGGGTTGTCTCTGCAGGGTTTGGGTCGGGGCAGTTTGTGGGGCTGTGCGCACGTCACTAGGGAGTTGGTGCTGGGAGGAAAAGGATGGCACTGTCTGGGTGCTGTTAGCAGCCGGTCCTTTCGTGCATTCGGGTCCCGAAGAGCTTTCCCTGAAACGCAGCTACCTGTGGGGTAACTGCAGCCGGCAGCACGTGGATGGACCGGCAGGAGGGAGAGAGGGAAACCATTGGGACCAAGGTCATCCGGGCAAAATCGGTCCAGTACCGAGCTACCTGTGGGTCGTGCATTATGGATAGCATAGTGTACGGTACTTGTTGACGGTATTCTTACACTATTCAGTAAACAACTTGATGAGTAGCATATTGACTAGAGTTTCAGAAGGCCAGTTCAAAGAATAAAAGTGCTCCACGCAGTTAGTCTAGAAGTAAGAATGAATTACATTTAGTTACTCAGTAAACTATGTATTGGTATTGCTCAGCTTTGTTTTCTTGCCAGTTATAACCAGTGTTTCTACCTTATTTTTGGAAGTTAGCAAATCATTTAATTACCTGAATTGATGTACAGCCTTTCTAAGAATTTAGCCAGCTTTTGTTGCCTTTTTGGACTTCCTCCCTTTTGCTTTTGGTATTTGGGTTATGTGGCTTAAGCTTCACATTTTAAAATAGTATAAATAATTCTACCGTAGTTCGTAGTTTATTTATCAAGTTTTATTTTCACAGTCAACAGCAGATTTTTTTAGTGCATGAAATCGAGAAGCCTAATAAAAGCAGGGGAGCTCTGGTAGCATAGTGCCTAAGGCACTTGACTGCTAACCAAGAGACTGGTGGTTCAAACCCACCAGCCACTCCTCGGAAGAAAGGTTGGGCAATCTACTTCCGTAGTGATACTGCCTTGGCAACCCAAGGAGGGGTCGCTATGAGTCAGGGCCGACTGAGTGCACATAACAACAACAATAAAAGCAGACTTACTTACTGCAACATGAATAAACTTAAATGTTTTATTTGTCACAAACTGAATAGATAACATTTTCCGATTCTTGCAACGAAGTTTGGAAAAAGCTAGTCATTTACCCCCTTAATACAAGGTTCTTAAAATCTCTAATGTACAATTACCTGAAATCGCTGAAGTTTTTCTAGGAGCTAAACCAAATAATGAAACTCACTGCCATTGAGTAAATTCCAACTCATAGCGATCCCCATCTGATTTCTAAGGCTGTATGTCTTAAGGAAACAGAATGTCCCATCTTTCTCCCGTCCAGCAGCTGATGGGTTCAAACTTCTGACCCTTTGGTTAGCAGCCAAATGCCTTAATCACATACACCACCGGCGCTCCTTTTCTAGGAGTTGGGGCTCTCATTTTCATGAGATCCTGGAAGGGAAGTATATGACCCAGGAAACACTGGTTTGGTTCTAGCACTGATAGATGAAATTAGTATTCTTAATCATAAGCAAGTTAGTTCCCTCTCATCCTGCAAAGCTAGTTTTATCATCTATTGTTGGTAGCTAAGAAAAATAGTAATAATACTATATAATAATAATACTGTTTATTGAGTGCATACTACACTGTCATATGTTGGACTTGATGTGTGTTGTACGTATTCTTGGCAATAGCTTTAAGAGGTTGAGAGAGTTTAAGTGGCCTAGGGCATGTAATTACTAAGTGACTGAATTAGGTCTGGAACTCAGATCTGTGTGACTTTAAAGCTGGGTCTCTTTCCACACTATTTCACCACCCCTCATGTGCTGTTTGAGAAAATCCATTTACATGGTTTTTTTTGTGTCCAGAGGAAAAGAATATTGAAAAGGGAAAATATCTTACTAGGAATGGAAATTTACTTTTTGAAAATTTCACTATTCAGAAATGCCTACCTGATGGTAACAGTAGCAATTACTGCATTATTCCTTGGCATGAAAGTTGCATTTCATTTTTTAAAAATTAGTAGTATTAAAACAAAACAAAACCCCACAGCCTATGAGTCAGTTTGGCTCATAGTGCCCCTAGAGGACAGAGTAGAACTGCCCCATACAGTTTCCAAGGCTGTAAATCTTTGCAGAAGCGGAGTGCCTCAGCTTCCTCCCCGTGAGCAGCTGGTGAGTTAGAACCAGCGGCTTTTTGGTTAGCAGCCAAATGCCTTAACCACAGTGCCACCAGAGCGCCTTAACATTTATTGAGTGCTTACTCTGTGCCTGCCAGACATTGTACCACTTTTTACATATTACGTATTTAACGCTCAGTAACTATGGGACAAAGATAATTAGGAGAGTATGGATTATGTAAGGAGCTCTGGTGGTGTAGTGCTTAAGGCATTTGACTGCTAACCAGAAGATTGGTGGTTCAAACCTACCAGCCTCTCTGCAGAAGGAAGATGAGGTGATCTGCTTCTGTAAAGATTTACAGCCTCAGAAACCCAAGGGGCTTGCTATGAATCTGAATCAACTGGATGGCAGTGAGTTTGGTTTTAACTGTGAGGCAGGTATTATTAATTTGCGTGATATAGACTAAAGAATTCTAACGTGTAGATGCTAAGGTAACAAAACAAAACAAAATGAAAACTCACTGCCAGTAAATCGATTCTGACTCAGTGACCTCCATTGGGTTTCTAAGGCTTTAAGTCTTTAATGAAGCAGATTGCCCCATCTTTTCCTTCTGTTGGAGCAAGTAATGGGTTTGAACCACTGATCTTATCCATTACGTCACCAGAGCTCCTTAGATGCTAAATAGCTTACCCAAATTTACATGGAGAGTGACAGAGTGAGGTTTGTCTGTTACCAGTGCCTAAACTCAATGATGGGTGTGACCAGGAAGTAAAACAGATTCATTTGGGGTTAGTTAACATTGTTAACCCCAAATGAATCCATTTCAATTCCTCATCATTTGGGCTTAGTTAACATTGTTAAGGGAGCTCTGGATAGCATAGTGCCTAAAGCACTTGACTGCTAACCGGAAGGCTGGTGGTTCAAACCCACCAGCCACTCCTCGGAAGGAAAGTTGGGCAATCTACTTCCATAGTGATACTGCCTCGGAAACCCAAGGAGGGGTCGCTATGAGTCGAGTTGCTATGAGTTGGGGCCGACTGGAGGGCACATAACAACAACAACAACATTGTTAAATCTCCTTTTGGGATGTTAAAAAAGATAAATGTGTTATTTTACCATTTTTTTCATTTGTGAATCTGAGGAAATTTTATTCATATGGAATTGCTATTTTTTTTTAAACTATAAAAATGTATTTAAAAATTCAAATTAATTAGTGTTGCCTTCCATTTTTTTTTTAACTGAAATTTTCCTTTAGAAAATGTGTTCCTCTCATTCACAACACAGAATTTTAGTTTGCAGAACAGTTGTAAGAGATCTTTTATTCCCCCTGCCCCCAAACTCACCTCCTTCCTCCTGCAATTTTTTTTTTTTAATTTTTACTGTGATTTGGGTGAAAGTTTACAGAGCAGATTCCTGTTCCATACAGCAGTTCTTAACACATTTTGTTTCATGACATTGACTGCAATTCCTCACAATGTAACAGTTCCCTGAGAGAGCTTTTAGTACAGAGGTCTTAACTTAGGGAGTCCAAGAAGGAAACCGTAAGCAGTTCTATTGTTTGGTTACAAATGCATAATTTGGCAGTCGGGTCTTTAGGTGTGATCAACTTCTGGCAGGGAACAGTGAGAAGCTGACAATTAAGGCCCTAGTGTAGGCATTTTCCTTTCCATTTCACAACTGGGGAAGCTCAAGTTGAAAGAGATAAAAGTGACTTGCCCAAGATAGGTCACAGCAAAGTAACCAGTAACCAGAGTAATCCAGAACCCACATCACCAGACTCCAATTTCAGAACTCTTGTTTAACTTTTCCTTTTTACTGAACCATGTTGCTTTTCAAAGTCAACATATTATAGTACTGTAAATGTTACGTTTATTACTTGAGGGACATTTCTAAACCTGGTTTGGATGTTGCACTCGCCTAACTGCGTATTTCTCGAATTCCTTCCTATTTAGGTTTTTGGATAAGCTTCAAAATAAAGTGGTCTATTAGACTGATAGAGTGAAAGAAATGTTTATGGATTTTATAGCACTCAATGTAAAGAATGATTTCCCTCCCCAGGGGAGAGGGACTTGGCAATCTACTTCCATAAAGATTACATTGTAATGGATGGGGTTGCTGTGAGTCAGAAGCAACTCTGCACACAACAACAGCACTTTTTTTAAAATTTAATTTTTATTGTGATTTGGGTGAAAGTTTACAGAGCAAATTCATTTTCCATACACCAGTTCATACACATTTTGTCTCATGACATTAACTGCAATTTCCCACAATGCAACAGCTTTTTTCCCACTTCCTCCCCATAGTTAACCTTTTCCCTGTGGCCTTCCCTCCCATGCACTCCTGCCTCCCAAGCTGTCTCCCTGAACAGCGCATTTTTAAGGGCATATTAAATGAATATTAGAGTAAGTAAAGCTTATGCTAACATTCTCTTCAGTGGCAGTCTTGCTATGTGAATTTAGGAGGCTTCCTAATTGTACGCCTAAAGATTTAATATTTGTATGTTATTTAAAAATTATAACTATATTAGAATACATTCCTTTTAAGTACATCAGGAATACTTACATTTACAGGCTAAAAAGTGAGATTCCTCTTCCTCTCCCTTTCCGCATCCCCAACCCC